GGGGGCCGGGGCAGAGAGCAGACTTAAGAATTCTGCCAATGAGGACCCTGCCTCCCACTGCCAAGAGCCTGGAATGATCCCGGGCTCCAGCTTGTTTGCTCACAGCCTGGACAAGTGGTGGGTGAGAGCCCTTGACTGGGTCCCTGGGAGGTGGGCCCCTCGACCCTTATCATCAGCACCTGGGCAGAGGCCAGGTTCCTGGTCTCCAGGCCCTACAGACTGGTCACAAGGGTGGGGTGGGCCGAGTGAGCTGTTTTCTGAGTGATTCACCTGCCAAACTGGACAGTGGCTGGCAGCACACTCACTGTCCCACGCCCCGACAGTGGGGAGGAGGCCAGGACCTGGCAGCCCCTGCACAGGGATCCACCAATCTGGGCAGTGATGTGAGCATCAGGGGATCACCTGGCCCAGCCCCCCTCTCCTGCTGCACTGACCTCAAGCTCCACTTGGGCCTTGGCTGCCGGCTGCCTGATTGGCACCTCCCCACCGAGGGGCTTTTTCTCCAGGAGGGCTGGGCTGGGTCCCGGAGCCAAGGGTGGGAGTCGGCACCCCCACACCCTTGGGGACAGCTCACTGGGCCCTCCTCCAGTCTTGGTCCCTCTTTTCTCAGCCTCCGTAGGGCTGCCTGAGCTCACCGCCTGCCCCAGAAAGCAGAGCCCTCCCAGAGCATAGTCATCCCCAAGGCCACCCTCCCAGCCCAGTGGCACCTTGACAAACAGCTGGAGCTTGGCAGTCTCCGCCATGGCTAGGAGCTGTGGTGGCGCGGCGGCGGCAAGGCAGGGGTTGGGGCCTGGAGAGCCCTTTTAGACTCCCGGGGTGCCCCGCCCTCCCCAGCCCAGGGCCCGCCCTGACGAGTCACCCGTGCAGGCGGTAAGGGCTCCGTGTCCAAGCGTGAAGGTGTGACTGTGGGCGTACTGAGTGTGCAGGGCTGAAGGGGGTGTGTGGGGTAGAGGTGGAGCCAGCGGACTCGGAGGTGGGGAGAGAAGGGTGCCAGTCTGGGAAGAGGGCAGCTCTGGACCAGAATCACGCCTGCCATGAACCCCACAACCCTCCCTGCAGTGAACACCCTGTTACCTGTCGCCCTCCCCCCAGAAAGCTGGGGAGGGGTAAGAGAAAGGAAAAGCCTGGCCCCAGCCTCAGTTTCCCAACTGCCTACCTCCTGGCAAGGGACGCCCCTCCCATCACCGAGTTGGGTCAGGCAGAGCCCTGCCGCCCCAGGCTAGCCCACATTCCAGGAGTGCCGCTGGCCTGCTCAGGTGCCCCTGGCCAGCCGACCCCACACCCCCTGCCCTCCCGGTGGGGTTCGAGGCAGGCTTTTCCCCTTAACCTTTCAGAAGAAGCCCCAGGAGGTTTAGAAGCCACAAACTCCTGACCCGTGGGGCCACCCGCCCCTGCCGTTGGCTGGAAGGAACCAACGCGGGGACGTTGTGTGCACACACCCACAACCTTCTCGGCCCGTCTCCCCCCCCCACCCCGCAGCTCTGGGTCGGGGGTGGGGGGCGGCGTGCCCCGAGGGAGGGGCCTGCGAAGGCTCCACGCCGCCCTGTGGCAGAGCTGGGGCTCTGCCCCGCACCTTTGCCTCCTCCCCCAGGGCCCTGCCAGGACCCCAGACCGTCCAGGGCTCCCGGACACAGCCTGGAGCTGGCCCGACAGACTGGAGCTGGGCACCTGGCTGCCCTCCGGGGCCCCAGTATTTCTGCTGCTTCTCCACGACGTGGTGGGGGCTCGGCCTGCCCATCTGCTTCCCCTGCGGGCACCGCAGCCCCAGGGAAGGGCCCCAGGCCCCTCCACAGCAGCAGGTGCCCACCAGCCGTCCCACGGGTATTTCTGTGTGTATAAAAATACCCTTACCCGTCTGTAGAGAATCGGAAATGAACCAGTGACCAGGTGGTTCAGAGAAAAGGAGATCTGCCAACACCCAACAGGGTGCGTGGGAGTCTTACTTCACACTTATTTCAGGAGACAAACTAGCACCGGATTCGGGGCTGCAATGGGCAGGTAACCATGTGCTCAGCGAGGCTGGGGGCACCCCCCACTCGGGTGGCTGTGTGCTGGCAAGACTGTCCAGACGGTGCAGCCCCCTGGGAATCAGCCCCACGTGTCCCTGTAAACGCATGAGGGACATATACACAGATCCGTGCTGTCCTCCGGGTGGCAAGCACCCCGTCTGTGGGAGAGTCCTGGTATGTTCACAGACGAGAACAGAGGGGGTGAGTCTCTCTAGTCTCCGGTTCGGGGGTGTCGTGACTGAATTGTGCCCCCCCCTTCACGGTGGAAGTGCTAGCCCCCAGCACCTCAGAATGTGACATTGGGACAGAGAGTTTTTACGGAAGTCCTCATGTTAGAATGAGATCATCAGGAGGGGCCCTACCCCAGTCTGACTGTATCCTTGTAAACGGGAGATTTGGACACAGACACACATGGGGGGGTGGGCGCACCATGAGGACGGAGGCAGAGGTCAGGTGGTGTCCACAAAGCCAGGAACACGGAGCGTTGCCAGAAAACCACCAGCAGCTAGGAGAGCGTGGGCCAGACCCTTGCCCACAGCCTCCGAAGGAACCAGCCCTGCGCACACCTTGATCTTGCACCTCTGGCCTCCAGAGTGTGAGGGAATACATTTCTGTTGTTTTAAGTTGCTCAGTTTGTGGTACTTTTCGGCAGCTGTAGCACACCAAGACCAGTGAGAGGAAAAAACCAACCCAGTTGAAAAACACTGCATCAGTATGTGTCCATCTGGGTCTGCTGCTCTCCTTCTGAAAAAAGCCAAGAGGACGTCCTCAGACCTTTTGAATTTCCTACCATGATTTCATAGGCAATGTTTTTAAATGAATGAGACCAGAAGCTCACAGTCACCAACTTTAGCCCCTGACCTACGCGGGGCCTGGAGCAAACCTCCCTGCCGCCGCCGGGCCGCCCTTCCCTTCCTTCTGGGGGCTGGGGGGGTGGGGGGCCATTCTCGGCCTGCAGTCCCCGGAGCCGCTGGTCCTGGCCTCATCCACGCGGTAGCGGCGCTTCTCTCCTGAGCCCTGGCTGGGGGCCCTTCGCAGCAGTGTTCAACAGTCTGTTCTGAAAGGAGACACAGGCTTGTAGGGGGGCGGGGAGGGGCCCTGGGGCGGCAGGGGGTCGTGGCAGGACCGTGGACAGGTGTTTCCTGGCTCTGCCCACTGAGAGAGCCAGGTGAGCCCACCCGGAGTCCAGACAGGGGTTCCAAATACCATTCTGCCCAGAGGAACCAGGGCTCCTTGGAAAATGGCCAAAGCCAGACGTGGGGCAGGGCGTGGGGCAGGGAGCTACAAAGCAGACCTGGACACGGGTTTTTTTGTTTTTTTTTTTTAAGATTTTATTTATTTGACAGAGAGAGACACAGCAAGAGAGGGAACACAAGCAGGGGGAGTGGGAGAGGGAGAAGCAGGCTTCCCGTGGAGCAGGGAGCCCGATGCGGGGCTCGATCCCAGGACCCCGGGTCATGACCTGAGCGGAAGGCAGACGCCCAGCGACTGAGCCACCCAGGCGCCCCAGACCTGGACATTGTAACAGAAAGGAAGTCTCCAAAAACAAATGGCCAGGACGAGGCAAAAGGACACAGAAGTCACCATGCAGGAGTCCCACTGGCCATATCCAGGATAGTTTGACCGTAAAAATGACAGCAATAGAATTGTACACTTACAATGGTTAAAACGGTAAACATTAAGTGTATTTTCTCACAATAAAAAAAAAAAAATCTTTATTGGGTACCCCGGGGGCTCAGTCTTAAGCGTCTGCCTTCAGCTCAGGTCAGGGTCCTGGGATCGAGCCCCACCTCGGGCTCCCTGCTCGGCAGGAAGCCTGCTTCTCCCTCTCCCACTCCCCTGCTCATGCTATCTCAAATAAATAAAATCTTAAAAAAAAAAGAATCTTTATGATGACAGCCATGAATGACAACATGTTGATTTTTTAAAAACCCATGCATCCACAGTAATATATTTCTAAAAGTGAAGCTCTTTTGGAAAAAAAAATACCAGTAAATAACCACAGGAAAGAATGAAATAATTAGAAAACCGCCATTTTGGGGCACCTGTGTGCTCAGTCAGTTAAACATCCGGCTCTGGGTTTCAGCTCAGGTCATGATCTCAGGGTTGTGGGATCAAGGCCCACTTTGGGCTCTGTGCTCAGTGGGGAGTCTGACTGGAAATTCTCTCCCTCTGCCCCTCCCCTGACTCTTTAAATAAATAAATAAATAAATAAATCCTAAGTAAAACAAGAAAGAATAAAAAGAAAACCACCATTTTGCAGCCCACCCCCCACTGGGGTAAAAGGTTTTGAGAACATGCGAACAGGACCCTCCATCCTCCTGGGGAGTCTTGTGTCCCTTCCAGCCCCCCTGAACGGGTCTCTGCTGGGAGACTGACCATGGCCAAGCTCGAGGGGTGCTGATTCTGGGGCCCTTCCTTGTGGCCTGTCTCCAGGCTCCATTGCTGCGGAGTGCCGCACCCCCCACCCCCCGTTCTTGGGAGCCTCCACACTGCCTCCAACCTTTGACATTCCCTCCTGGACTTGGCTCTTAGCCTAGAGATCACCCCGTCCTGCAAGCACCCCCATCCTGGATGAGATGGACACAGCCCAGCACACACAGCCGGCCTGTGGTCCCTCAGTGGGCCCTGAGTCCCAGGGGTTGGGGAGAAGGTGGCAGGGAGTGCACACCCCCAGGGTGGGCAACATGGCACAAAGAAGCCCACTCAGGACCTGCCTCCAGGCAGGGAGTCCGGGCTGTGTGGGTGGGGCAGGGGAGGGGAGTGATGGACAGTCCCTGCCTCAGTCCCCCAATCTGTCCCAACAGCTGTTTAGAGGGATGAGGGGCCCCACCCCCTCCTCCAGGTTAACCCGGCCACCTTCCCTTCACTCTGGGCTCAGCGCTCGGGGACATTGCATTTGTGCCTGTGAGGCAGAGACCATAACCTTGCATCAAGGGGGCCCATCTTCACCCCAACACCCCACTCCACATGTGCAGGCTTGCATGGGCTTTTTTGTTTATTTATTTAAAACAAACATCTGTGCGCTATGTACAGGTCCGGCTCCCGGGTGGGTGGGTGTGCAGGGGGCCAAGCTGGGGAGAGCAATGGCAGCTGGAAGGGGGTGGGGAGGGGGTCTGGCCCCTTGCCGGCCAGTGGGTCCAGCTTCTCCATTCCTGCCACCCGGCCCACCACCTTGAGGCCGCCCCTCCCTGGCCCACGCCCAGGGCTTCCCTCAGGTGGGGGCCTCCCTGCTTGACAGCAAGATGAGGAAGCCTCTTCCTAAAGCAAAATAAATAAGGGCCTGGAGACAGGACCTACCCCAGTCCCCATCCTCAGCCCCAGACCGGCCCATCAGTACTGAGGATCAGAGAAAAGCCCATTCAGAAGGTCAGGCCTGGCCAGCAGAGAGTCTGGTAGTACCTGGTGGCCTGTGTCACCCCAGTGGCCCTAGGGGTGGCGGGCAGAGCTGGAAAGGGGCAGAGACTAGGGGCCGGCCAGACCCCAAGGCTTTAAGGCAGAGCAGGGTGAGGGTGTGCGCAGCCCAGGGCCAGGCCAACCTTTGGCACAATCAGGGGAGGGCAGCGCAGTGGCCTCAGGCAGGGCTGAGGACGGGTGAGGGGCTGGAGGGGGCAGGAAACCCTAGGTCCTGGACCTCCCGTTCCAGGGCCTTGTGGGCGGGCACTGGGGGCACGGGGTGGGGCCTCGGCCACCGCCTAACTTCTGTCCCCACTGCATGTCCTTGAGCCAGCGCCTGGTGGTCAGCAGAGTGTGTCCGTGTTGAAGGAGAGCTGGGCCTGGTGGGCAGAAGGCAGGCAGGCCGGGCTTGGGGAGGCATCCACAGACACCCCCACCCCCCACCCCGGGTCTGGGACTGGGTACCCCTCCTCTGTCTCTCTGGAGTTCTCCCTCAGTGGTGGAGCCTCCTGTGGCCTCTGTCGGCCAGGTCAGGTGGCTGCAGTGTTTCCAGCTCTCCCCGGTCCCCAGGCTCTGCTCCCCACTATTCTGCTCTGCCTGTCTCGGAAATCCCTCCAAGTTCCCAACATGTTGTGCGTTCCCAACATGTTGTGCGGTCTGCAATGGGTCTGTATCTGCCTGTGCCTGAGGCCTCCCATGTTTACCCTATAGCTCTGAAGTATCAGAGGAATCCCTCTGTCTCCTTGAGCTCAGGACAGCAGGAGTCCCCAGGCGACCCCTCCCCCACACCTCTCCTTATGCAGAACCTGAGCGCTCTGGCCAGACTGACCCTACAAAGGCGGCTCACCCGCTCCTCCTCGAAGCTGATGAGGCCCTCATCTTCTGTGTCCAGGTCCTCAGGCTCATCAGCCACAAGTGCCCTTAACTCTGTGGGGGCAGGCCGGGGCCGGAAGAGGCTAAGCAGGCGGCCCAGGGGTGACCGCAGGGCCGAGGGTGGCTCTGTTTCCTGCTGCTCCAGGTTGTCACTCTGCTTCTTGGCAAAGTTCACAAACACCTGGCGGACAGGGGCAGGTGGGTGAGCGGGGGCCAGCCGAGGCTGGCGCCACGCCCCTGACCTGGAGCACTCACGTTGTCCAGGGTGGTCTGGCTGACAGAGTAGTCCTCGATGCCAAGCACAGCCACCACCTGTTCCATCTTGCTGAACACCTGAGCCAGTGAGATGTGCTCCGACTGGAGCTGGTACTGCACCTTCGTGTGGTGACGCTCCTGGGGCGGGGACGGGGGTCAGAGGCTGCTCAACAGACCCCCAAGCCCTACCCCTGGGGCCCCACCCACCTTGAGCACAGCCTCTGGAAAGTTCCGGTTGAAGAACCGCACCACATCCTTCACGTTCTGGCTGCTCTTGGTCCTCACCGTGATCATGTAGCCATCCCCAAACCTGCGGGACAGGCCTGTGGCCCCGAGTCCCCAGCCGCCAGGGCAGCCCGTCCCCCACCTGCCACAGACCCCACAGCCTGCCACCCCACGTTGGCACTGCTGGCCCGGCTCACCGGTTCTTCAGGTGCTGGATGCTGCCCAGACAGCGCAAGCGCCCGTTCACCATGATGGCGAGACGCGTGCACAGCGCCTCACACTCCTCCATGCTGCGGGCAGACACACAGGCTGGTATGGGGGGGCGGGGCACTGTGGGGGGGGGCCGGTAAGGGCAGGGACACACCTGTGGGACGTCAGCACCACCGAGCGCCCTGTCTTGATGAGGTCCAGAATGAGGTTCCAAAGGAAGCGACGGGCCTTGGGGTCCATGCCTGTGGTGGGCTCATCCTGGGGGTGGTGCTAGGCTCAGCCGCGGCAGCCCGCTCCACCCCAGCTGGCCCAACCGCTGCCTGCGGCCCCGGCTCACCAGAGGGTGCAGATGGGCCCACCCCCCATCCCAGCTCACCAGGAAGATGAAGGCGGGGTACCCGATGAGGGCAATGGCTGTAGACAGCTTCCGCTTGTTGCCCCCGCTGTAGGTGCCTGCGGGCTTGTCCGCGTACTTGCTCAGCTCCAGCTTCTCCAGGGCCCACTTCACCACCTGGGGGCGAGAACCGACATCAGGGCCCGCCCCTCCCGTCAGCCCCTCCCGTCAGCCCCTCCCGAAAGCCACCCCCCGCCCCCCGCCCGGGCGCCCCTCACCCGCGCCTCGTCCTTCCAGGGGATGCCGCGGAGCCGCGTGTACAGCTGCAAGTGCTCCCGGGCTGTGAGCTCGTCGAACAGGGCGTCGAACTGCGGGCAGTACCCCAGACTCTGCTGCACCTGGAGCAGCTCCTTGAGCACGCTGGGGACACCGTGCCATCAGCACCGGCGGCCACAGTCACCCCACCCTCCCAGACGCCCGCCCGCCTGCACCTGTGCCCGTTGACAAAGGCCTCGCCCCCCGTTGTGCTCTCGTCACCCGTCAGCATCTTGAAGGTGCTGGTCTTGCCCGCGCCGTTCACGCCCAGGAGGCCGAAGCACTCGCCAGGACGCACGCCCAGGCACAAGCGGTCCACCGCCAGGATGCGGCCAATCTTCCGAGACTTGTACACCTGGCGTAGGGGAGGGATCAGCCCATTCAGCAGGGCCAAGCACTCGCCAGGCCGCACCCCCACCTGGGCCCCGCCCCGGCCTGGAAACACGCCCCCATCTGCGCCCTGCACCCACCTGGAAACACGCCCCCACTTGGGCCCCCCCCCCCACCTGGAAACACGCCCCCACCGCGTCCCGCCTCTGCCTGGAATCACGCCCGCATCTGCGCCCGTCCGCGCCTGGAAACACGCCCCCACCGGATCCCTCCCCCGCCTGGACACACGCCCCCCCCCGGCCCCGCCCCCCCCCGGGAGCTCCACCGGGGCTTGGCCCACCTTGGTCAGGTTCTCGATCTTGACCATATCATTGTCAGCGTCCCCCCGCAGCACCCGTTGCCGCTCGCTGGCCACGTCCACATCGTCCTCCACGGGCTTGGTAGACACTGGCATTCGCCTGTGGGGACAGGGCAGGCCGGGCCATCCATCACCCAGTGCTCCCCAATTTGCCATGGCCCCCACATCTCCTGGCACTCCCCAACTCACTGTGGCTGCCTCAGGGACTTGTACTGGCACATGATGGTGAGGAAGAAGCCGACGAAGCCTTCGACCGTCATGGCCACCAGCCCCCTGGTGACAATGTCCCACTCGAACGGGGACTTCATCTTGTCAAACTGGCCTGTGGGGCAGCCGGCTCAGGGCCTGTGCCTGGGGAGGCTCCCCCCACGCCTGCAAGTCCCGATCTCTGGGGACATGACCCCGTATGGCACCCGCGCCCCGCTCACCGATCTTGGCGTAGTACTCGTTGATGTACTCGTTGTAGGCCATCTCCATGAGCCCGTGGCCCAGGTTGTAGTTAGGGAAGATGAGGAAGCAGCTTTTAAGGTAACTATTGACCACCTTCAAGTCCTGGGGGGGGGGGGGTTAACAGGGGGTCACGGGCACAGCCTGCGCTCCGCCACCTGCCATGCCCCGATGCCCGCTGTGCCCTGCCTCCCCCCTGCCCCCTGCCCTGCTGCCCACTGTGCCCCGCCACCCCCCTGCCCCACCTTGTCATGCTCGAAGAGCTGCAGCAGGAAGGTGGCCACCGTGGCCGTGATGCCGATGAAGAGGTTGATGACAATGAGAAACACGTAGGCTGAGCTGGGTACCTCGAACCAGAAGGAGGCCGGGTACATGATGGGGGTGATGGACCACCTGCGGGTGGGTGGGTGCAGGCGTCACCAGGCGGCCCGCCCCCACCCCAGGCCCCCTCCCCCGCCCTCTCCCCCTTACCCATAGAGCAGGAAGAGAGAGAGCACGGCCGGGAAGTTGGTGGGTGACGTGTAGGCCGGCAAGTCGAACACAAACAGGATGATGACGCAGCAGGTGGCTGGGACCAGGTAGTTAAGCTACCAGAGCAGGAGTGGCAGGTAAGGGGCCCAGGTGCAGGGGCAAGGGGCCCCAGGGCAGGGGTGAGGGCTCCAGGGGCAGGGCTGAGGGTCTGGGGCCAGAACTGGTGGGCCTGGCAGGAGACAAGGTTGTGGGACAACACGGGTCCAGGGGTGATGGGAACCCCCCTCAGCCATGCAGGGGGGCGCACACCATGTCCCACACGTAGTTGGCGAGCCAGTAGATGACAGGGTTACAGCCACTGACAAACTGCAGGTGCTTGGCCTTGGTAGACTTCTCGGCCACCAGGAAGACCACAAAGCTGGCTGGCACGAAGGACATGGCCACAATGATGAAGATGGCAATGACCACGTCCGTGCCCTGCAGCCTGGGGGCAAGGCAGCCGTCAGCCCCTGCCGGGCACCGGGTCCCGCAGCAGCACCCCCAGCCTCCCTGTCCCCGTACACACAGGTAGTCCAGGGAGAGGCTGGCGCTCGTCTTGTTCATGGGGTGGTTGGTGACAGTGATGCCTAGGGCACAGGGGAAGGCAGCCTCAGGGACCTGCTCCATGCCTGCCCAGCCCCGGCCCCGCCTGCCCCACCCCCCACCTAGGCTCACCATAGGCCGCTGGGTTGCCCTTGCCCTTGGGCAGGTTGGCGCGCAGGATAGCATTGTTCAGGCTATTGAGGTAAGTGGGCATGCTGTGGTAACCCTTGTTGTTGTAGAAAACCTGGAGGGACCCAGAAGTGCCCTAAGAGCCCTGTGGGTTCCTGCCCACGTCGGGCGAGAGCTGGGTGCCCCAGGGCCTGGGCTGTACGGCTCACCTGGGCTGCCCTGCGCACCGCGATCTTCCGCACCATGACTGGGGCCCGGGCACCAAATGATGCTGGGATGGACTTCTGGACATTGCCAAAGGTGATGGCCCCATACCTGGGCAGGCAGGGCGAGGGGCAGTGAGGCCCGGCATGCAGCGGGTGGGCCGCCCCTTCGCCCACAGCTGGCACGCAACTCCCGCCCTGCTCACCGGTGCAGCCGGAAGCGGTCAGAGGTGAAGAGCAGGTACTCGGAGACATTGTGGCCAGTGATGTCCGTCAGGATGTCTCCTGTGACCACCCGCATCTGGGGTGGATGCCCACCCACACCCCCTGGGCAGGAGAAGCCAGTGCCTTGTGCAGAGCAGGTGCAACGGATGGGCTCCCGCACCAGGCGTGGCAAGGACGGTGCCGACGTCCAGTTGTCTGTGGGCGCAGCAGGTACCGTCAGCTTAGGCCGCGCCTTCCCCTGCCTCCCACCCCCGGCAGCCTGCTGGGCCCATACCTGGCCCAGAGGTAGGGGGCAGAGAAGCATTCCAGGCCTGCAGCGGGTCCTCCTCTGGGGACACAGGGGAGTCAGACGGAGCGGGGGAGGGTGGGGGCGGCACGAAGTTGGACAGCGGCAGCCCCTGCGTGAAGGACTCCAGGCACATGCTGTCGAAGAATGTCGCGGCCAGCAGGCGGGACTCGCCGCTGCTCAGGTTCAGCACGGGCCCCAGGGAGCCGTTGGCCGGAGACTTCAGCACACAGGTGGCACCCACACCCGACGGCAGCCGGAACGTGCTCACCAGCTGCTGGGGGCTGGCGTCCGGCGAAGGTCGCAATCTGGGGAACCCGCGGTGTGAGTCCGGGTGGGGAGGTGCCCACCCATCTCCGTGCCCTCACCCAGCCCCGGCCCGCCACAGCTGCCTGGCAGGCGGCCTCACCGGTACTCCTGGCGCTCCTCATTGGCGTAGGGGATGAAGTTGCCGCGGGGCTGGGTGTAGTTGTGGTACTGGGAGGGTGACAGGACCAGTGGGGGCAGGTCACCTGGAGGGGTGCACGGGGAAGCCTGAGCAGGTTCTGATTGCCTACTAGCGGCCCCCGGGGCCCAGGTCCCTCCTCCCCAAGACCCTTAGGGTCCAAGCTTGGGGTCCGGGTCCCAAGGAGGCATGAGTCCCAGACAAGCTGTGCAGAGTGCCTGCCAGTCTCGGATGTAGTGCCCAGGCCCAGAGCGGGTGGTTCCCGCTAGAGTGGGACGCTGGCCCCCGATGTCCCTCTGCCTGGCCTGGCAGCCGTACCAATCTCAGGGACGGAGAGGGCCACGGTCATGGCCACGCAGACAAAGAAGGCGGGGAGCAGGATCTGGGAGGAGAGCGCCTTCGAGTTGCGGCGGGCGCAGTGGAAGCGCTTCACCAGGAGCCCGTGGAACTGGCGCACCTTCAGCCACCAGCCTTCCAGCTTGCGGCTGCCCTGGCCAACCCTCGTCAGGGCCTCCGCCTCAGCTTCTGCGCGGGGAGCGGGGACTGAGCAGGCGGCCCCGCGCCACCCTCCAGGGACCCTGCCCGGCCCCGCCCAGCCGCCCCCCACCTTGCAGGCTGACGTTGTCAGGGTCCTGTAGGTCGTCAAAGAGGGGGCGGTAGTCGCCACAGCCATCCACGTAGGGGGCTCCCTCATCACCACGGGCAGAGCCCACGGAGGATGCGGATTGCAGGGACGCCTGGGACTGCGCCAGCTCCGTGCACCGGGCCAGGCCGCCAGCGCGCGCCGCCCCCGGCGAGGCATCCTTCTTGGACTCTTTCACGTCTGCCGTGGCCGCGGGGCCAGGGAGGGGGAGAGGCGGGGCTCAGGCCTGCCTGGGACCCCAGTCCCCACGCTCAGCCACCCAGCCACCCTCAGTCCCACTTTGCCATGGGGAGCCCCAAGTCCCGTGGCACCTACCTGCCCAAGCTCCTCGCCCCCGAGTCAGCCTGGCAGGGCATCGTCGCACCTTGTCCCACCCAGAGCCCTTGGTCCCCAGAGACAGGAAGAGCGAGCGGCCCCAGCCCAGGTTCACGCCCCGGGGCTGGGGCAGGACGGACGGGCAGCTCGGGGACCTCTCTCACCGGCCTCGCTGTTCTCCAGAGACTGGTCCTCCTCCGACACCTTGAGGAATACCTCCTCCAGCGTGGTGTCCGTCAGCCCGAAGCTGCTCAAGTGCAGCGCGTCCAGACTTTGCTCCAGGTGCTGTGAAAGGGCTGCCCATGACCCACTGCAGCACGGCCCCCCGCAGGGATGACCCCTGCCCCTGTGCAGACCCCGCCCC